GTTTTAAGCTGTTTGCATTACAGTACTGCATGTAACCGTTATACAAATAATAGCAAAGCCATTAAGTTGGAGTTTCCGTGACCATTTTTTTGATCTGAATATTGTACATATTATATACAATTCCTCATTTAGCGGCCAATTCAGTTAATGACCTAGGCACCGGAATGGAACTTGGTCGGTACAGGAGTGTGTGGATTACAAAAGCTTCATACCCACATACAAATGTCCTTATTATCAGAGGAGCAGTAACTGATACTGGTACTTCCCCAGAGTTGTACTATGGGCTTTATCCAGTATACTTTTACTTTCAGATTTTTTTTTCTATTACCCAAATGAAGAATAACACCTGATCTGGCCCACTGGAAAGACCTGGTCTGACTTGTGAACTGTAGAGCATTTACTAACATTCATTTTATAACCTGGTCTTCTTAGAGCATCCTAACTAAAGGTATTTGGGCACTGGAGCAGAGCACGCAGTATGCAGAAAATATCTCTGAGTCCTCAGAGGAAAATTATAAGCTGCTCTATGAATAACTACAACAGCATAATTAATTTCTAAAGATTTTATTTAGAGTTGCCTAATTCCAGTCAATAGGAAGTTTATATTCTTAAGGATATTAATTAAAATGTCTATGTAAATAGGGAAGGGTGGAGGGGTGAAGGGCGCACAGGTAATGGGAAAAAAATAAGAATCAAGATGCATCATGTACAGGTACAACCACCCAGTGATAAATGTAAACGTATTGTATACCTAAAATGTACCAATAAAAGAACTTAAGAATAAAAAAAAAAGTCAATTGATATAGTGTTTTACTAATTCATATACTGTTTCAAGAAAAAAAAAATTTGTTAATATCTTTCTGCTTGGATTCCAAATGGGTAAATCTACTCAGCACAAATTCTTAATCCATTTCTCTTCTAATAAACAGGGATTCTGAAAGCAATTGATTGGGTATCATAAATAAGTTTCTAGTTCTCTTTATGTTTTTGTTTCTCCTGTTAGAAATGACACAGAACTATGATCCACTAAATTCTTTGATATCTTACTATCTTATGGTAATAAATGTTTCAAAGTAGAGACATTTCAATGAATACACATATTTTCCAATAATATAGAATAAAGTACTGCATGCATATATATTAATATAGTTTATTTAAAGTGATAAAAATGAAATAGTTTTCAAAGTTTAAACAATAGGCAAAGAGTTAAAATTTGTTTTTGAAATTTGCTTGTAAATTCAATGTATTTTCTAAATCAATAGTAAATGGAAAGGGAAGAATACTGAACTATGTTATCATTATTCAAATGGAAGATAATTTTTCTTCCAAAAATCAAGATATATAATCATCTTTTCTGCCACACAGCCTACTTGTATGGAATTTATTATACTTTATGATAGAAATTTAAGTTTTTAATACTTATTTTATGGAATGTAAATATTGAATGGTCTAATATCATATTTAGCTTAGTGGGAGATGGAATTCATTTCCTAAAGGGTTTCCCAACTCAGAGTAAGAAAACCATAATTAATATGCTCTGATTTAATGATGCTGTATTTCATAGTAATTTAGCTAATAATAGTTACATGACAAAACATATCTAGAATAAAATGCTTGCTGCTTATTTCTTTCATAATTTATATGATGTGTTTAGACAGAATTCTTGTTTAATCCCCTGCCAATCAAAGGATAACTGGTGATAAATGCCAAATCATTTTTGGAAAACAAGTATTAAGCTCTATGCCAGCACAGTATTAGGGAGAGGAGATGGAGAGTATTTAAGTAGCTTAACTTCCTCCAGGATATGTAGATAGTCTTAAATTTCCTTGTTTGTGAACCAGAAAATTGATGCAGTGGGGGAATAATGATATTCTAGTCTCTGCCTTTAGGTAAACATCAATGTTGAGAGAGGTGCATCAGCAACACAAATCGTACAGCAAGAATGTAACATTATAATGTGGCATTTCTAACACAAATATAGCAACAAAAGAGTACTCTAATGTTACATTTCTCTTGAATATGAGAGATAATTTCCAAGTGTGATGAGAATTCAGAGAGTGGCAAATATTTAGTAGAGCAATGACAAAGTATTCTAGATGGCTGGGTTATTGGAGAGAGAAGGTAGGAAGACAAGGGTAGAGGGAGGGTATAAGAAAATTAAAAAGAAAGACTTCAAAGATTGCACTGTTCATTTTGGGAGACAATGGGTGAAAAAGAAAGGCTGGACAGTAAGAGAAAATATGATGATATCAGTTTAATAGGAACAACAAAGTAAGAGTTTAACAAAAGCACAAGTATACAAAGGGGAATAATGTGAGATAAAGCTGGAAAATAGGCCTGGGGTTAATTTAAGGATGGAGTTTAAATATAGAATTTGACAGACTGTAGTAGGTAACAGAAAACATTGGAAAATTATGTTGACAACTGATTTAGTAAGAGATGTATATTTTGAAACTTATTCTAGTGTAGGTGTGGCATATGGTGGACAAAACTGGAGTATGATTGGCAGCCTGTTGTGATGGTCTAAGAGTAGAAAGGAGAAGTACATCTTAGTAGTACACTGACTGTGTTAGTCATCTTTTGGTTGTGTAACAAAATACTTGAGAAAAAAATTTAAGGGAGAAAGCTTTATTTTGGCTCATGGTTTCAGAGGGTTTAGTCCATGGTTGACTGGCTCCATTGCTTTTAGGCCTGTAGTGAGGTAGAAACATCACGATGGAAAGGGCCAGGAAGAGGAAAGCTAGTGGCCTCATTGCAACCAGGAAACAAGAGAGAGTGAGAGAGCCAGAGAGGAAGGGGCCAAGGACAAGACATAGTCCCCAAGGTTACATCTCCATGAGCCATTCCTTTAACTAGGTTTCAGCTCCTGTTACTATCACCTTCAAATAATGCTAACAAACCATATGTTCATCAGTGGATTATTCCAATTAATAAAGTTAAAGCTTTCATGATCCTATCACTTCTTTGGCTTCTCCTCTGAACATGGGTGCATTGGGAATCAAGCCCTCAATAGAGGAGTCCTTGGGGGGATACTTCATATTTAAAGCGTAACAGTGACTTTGGAGTAATTGTGGTCGAGTAACAGATTTGAATGTGGGGAACTAGGAAATTGAACAATTGAAGAGAATTCCTAGATTTCCAAGCTGAATTACAGGGGGAAAATGATTACAATATTATTAAATAAACCAATATTATTAAATAAACCAGTCAGCAAGAGAAGTAGATTTGGGAGAATAAAAAGTGTGAAATTGGTTTTTGCATTGTGGGTAGCCTATAGATTAAAAGCACAATTATTTCTTGGTCACACTGTATGTCTGTGTGAGAGACATACACAAGAGAACCATAGGAGTATTCTTCTCCATGAAGTCACTCAGAGACATGGACTCCTCTTCAAGAACTGCTGCAGTAGGAGAAAGAGAAAGACTAAAAGTATTGCACAGACATTTTGTGTACTTAATCGGGCTTCACATGACCCACAATACTCTTGGTTGTATTTCATTGGCCACGTGGCCCTACTTGAGCACAAGGGGCTGAGAGCTGCAATCTCTTGTAGGATTTTGGTAAGCACAGACAATGTCTACTATGGACGGACTGACTCCAAGATGGAGCTTTCCACAGCTCTGAGTAGTGTGTAGGTGAAATGGAGAGAAATAGACAAAGAATACTTTTGTCTCACTTTATGTGAAAAGTCTTGCTCTGTACTCAGACACTGTATAAACTGAAGGAACTGTGGTCCCCTGAAACCCGTGGTTTTACTCTTAAGCAGAAGTTGTTTTTAAATCTAAGCATAATATTGCCTGTTCATGCTATATGGTATATATAGAAGCAAGAGGCTCTTTGCATTAAGCCCTCTCATAATGTTCATGAGACCTTCTAGAAGTTCTATATGTGATCTTACTAAATAAGTTCTTTGTTCTGACTCTAACAAGAAGAAACACAGAGAAATGGTTTGTGTTTATAAATGTTCAAAAGTACAATTTGTAGTAGGTTTGCAAGTACTTGGAAGCTTAACATATTCTTAAACTATTCAAGGTTACCTATGATTTCCTGTACCAAAGGCATCATAAGAAAAGCTGAGATAAATATATTCTTCAAATCTGTACTGTAAAGCCTCAAATTATATTAATCAAGTTACACTAATTTTCATACCACAAAATAATTGTGAGGAGCCAGGGAAAATATTCAGTAAGCTCCATATTAGTAAAGTATTCTCAACTTTTATATATTTAGATTCCTTACTCAACTGGAAATACCAATCTACCTAAGAAAATAATACTGAATTTGTTTAAATGTTGCACTTTGATAAGAAATAGGGTTAGGATAATATCTATTAACATCTGCTATATCAATATACAACCCTTTTTTCTTCTCAGGCTTCCTAGTTAGAATAACAAGTTATATATTTACTACTGTTTTCTAACCTTTAACACTGGAAGTTGTTGATGTTGCTATGCGAAGTTTATCTTGCTTCATTCATGAAAATCACATGACACCATACTCAATGTCCTTGAATATCATTACAGTTTTCTAAACATGAAAGTTAGATTGAGGAGTTGAAACAATTTATAAAGCTAAGTTATCTATGTAGATAGTATTTACAAACTTAAAGATAACATTTACAGTACATTATAAATTATATATTACTACAAATATTAATTTATATTTATAAATACAATATTTATTAACTATTATATTGATTATTTTTATAAACATAAAATAACATTTATTTTGTAAATAATACATCATATTGTACACTACGTTATGGAAAACATTAATGTTATATGTAATATATTATGTGTAAGAAAATTATTGTAGAAATTTTTTAAGTAAATTTTAAAAATAGCAATTTAATTGTACCTTATTCGGTTAGAAATATTAGGCATGAGTCCCCCTTGAAGGAAAACCAACAGTTGAACACCACAAAAGGGAATTTATATATTCATTTATTTATTTTAATATGCAATTTATGGAAAAATGAATTATAAATATCTTGTATCTCTATACATTCACTGAAAACAACCATCTTTGTCATTTGGTAATCTAAAGCATACTTCATAAATAGAAGTTTTAATGTAGAAATCAAGGCAATGAGTCATATTCTCCCTAAGATGAGATGTTCCCCTTTTCCTATTTTTAAAATATAATCTGAGGGCCTTTAGAAATGATATAATATGTTATTCTGGATTTTCATGTGAATTGATGCTATTTCTAAAGGTGCCTACCACACAGTCTGGGGAAAGAAGAAAGCCTGTAAGGATCTGACTTCAAAACAAATTGTTTCCTTCCACATCCAATAGTGTAGCTCCCACTAAAAAAACCTCTGCTAGAAAGGTCCAATCAATTTGGCCAAATAACTAAGTTCTCATCCAGCACATAGTTTCCAGAAGTCGGTGGTCTTTTAACTGAAGATATGATGAATGGGACACAGTTTTTTTTTTAAGTATCCAGAATAAAAATATTGGGTTTTGTTGAAAGCTACCTTAAGAGAATAAAGAGTGTATACCTTTCACAAAAGCTCAGTGCTAATAAAATCCTCCTGGACACACATGCTTTTTAACTTTAACCTCCTAATTCCAGCAAGCAAAGAACAGAATTTTCAAAAATATTTTTATTGAGAGCCAGGGATTTAGATCAGTGGCGCTATGCCTGCCTTGTAAGCGCAAGGTCCTGCGTTAGATTCCTGGTCAAACCGCCCCCCCCCATTTGTTTTTTATTGAATCAGGAGCATGATTTTATTGCCTGATTTTGTTAAGCAGCGTCGTTTTTGTAATGCTGGTGCATAAAGGACTGCTTAACAAAGGTACTGACAACTGCTGATTTTGTAATGTTCAGAATCAAAACTTTACGACTAGCTTTTATGAGTTACCAAGTTTCAAGCTATCATTTTTCTCCTTTATTTTAAACTTAGGTCATCAAATCTAAGCTAAAAATAACTTTTTAAATGTTGTTTAAAATAAAGAGGTGTAGCAAGCACATTTTATTTTTAAAGACATTGTTATCTATTCTGAGATCTTAACTAGTACTAAATTTCAAACAAATTTTACCATGACAATTTATAAGTACTGCTAACAAACACGGAACTTACAGAGGCACACATTTACACTAGAAATGAAAAAGGCACTGTTAAAGTGTACAGGAAATCAGCAGAGTACACATAAAATGAGAATTATATAGAGGGATGTTGACCTCTAAAGGGGTAAGTAATGCAGGAGTTCTCTGTCTAAAACCTCAGCTGCATTCCTCTTGCCATATGTATTGGACCCCACATCAGTAGGCAGGAGAACAGCGCCGAGATTGTGGCTGGAACGAACCAAAAAATTTGTCAGGCGTTGTATTGTACATGTGGCAGTGTTGCATTTCCGTTTGTCCACCTGATGACTGGTGTCACTGAACAAATATGAACAAATATGAAAAATTAGATACTTAGAATGAGGATGGGATACAGCCATGTGACCCAAAATATCTCATGGGGATGAAAATGTCTTTCTTTATGGCCAATGTTGCATTTCCCAGTATAATTCTATTTTTTTTTTTTTGAAATTCAGAATACTCTCCAAATAATCATAATAACAATGGGTGTTTGTCGTGTAGTCTTCTAAATGTGATTGATGAATTTCTTTTCTGACATATGAGAAACATTTAAAGGTAAAATTTGTATTTATTCTGAAATATATGAAATTTTTAAAAATATGAATATCCTACATCTTTTCAACAGGAATTAAACAATATTGATTAACTTTTGTTAAGTTCCTTGAGATAATCAGGAATTTTAAGGGGAAAAAGTCAGAAGGTAATTTAGCAATATGCAACCATATGAAAGAACTTCAAGAACATTATGCTACATGCAATAAGCCAGTCACGGAAAGATAAACACTGCAAGATTACAAATATATGAAATATCTAATTACTCAAATCTAAATACTCAAATTCATGAATCAGATAATCAAATGATATTTACCAACAACTCCTGGAGGAAAAATTAGGATTTATTAATCAATGGACAAAGTGTTTTAATCTAGCAAGATCCATAAACTCTAGAGATTTGTTGTAAAACATTGTATTTATATGATAATATATTATACACTTAAAAATTTGTTTTAAAAGTAGACCTCATGTTTAGTGTTTTTACCACAATAAAATAAAATGTGTGGAATAGAAAATGTCAAATATTATGAAGTCTCAAGGGAAATCAACTTTGTCATCCATTCAGGCATCCTTTGCAGTGTGGGAGTTTTCTTACTCTCAGCATGAATACATTAACATTGCCACCTTCCTGCTACCTATGTGGATCCTGTGCTTTTAACAGGTTCCGATAGAGCTAAGTTAAATATTAAAACCCAAAGGCTTTTTATATCAATGGCCTTGATATTCAGCACATTTTTAAGCAACCTGAAACAACTGCATGTATTATAAAAAAAGTTAGAAATCACAACTCTGATTTAAAAATTCATTTGAATTTAAACTTCCATATTTTAAAAATTTGTATCAACTCTCTATTTTTGTACCATCTTTTGTTTCAATGTGTATATAAGAGAGTTTTCCATTACTCTAAACCAACAAACAAACAAACAAACACCTGAATGAATAAATTTCAGAAAAGGAAAAAGTCATGGAGGTGTCAGTCCATGGTTAGGTGGCCCTGTTGCTTTGGGGCCTGTGGTGAGGAAGTATATCATGGTGGGAGTGCATGGTGGAGCAAGATGCTCATATAATGGTTGTGGGGAAGCAGAAAGAAGAGACTCTGGTCCTCAAAGCCCCTTTGTGAGCACTCCTCCAGTAACACAGAACCTCCCACTAGTTCCTACTTCTTATAGCACCCACTACTTCCGAATAGCACTATGGGCTGGAGACCAAGCCCACAGCAGACAAGGGCCTTTGGAGGGCATTCCAGATGCAAACTATAGCAATGAGCTTTCAAAATGGTGTTTTAAATGAATCCAGAACAATAACAGTGCTTACCTCTTGCTGATTATTAGGAAAATGCTCTAATTTTCAGCTTCATGGAAATTAAAATATGATGAAACTTTGGATATACATAAAGTAGAAAGTGATAGCTATGGAGATAAAAATTTAATGTCCAGAAGTGACTCAATACATATAACTTGGGGCTATCTCAATAAGTATACTTTGTATGAGGGAATATTTCATTATCTCTACCTCTATGAAGAAATAGTCTAAATGCAAATGTTTAAAATTTCATGTGAAATTTTTTTTTCCATTTTTTACTGCCATATTTTCTTCAACATATAGAAAACTCTTCTGCCAGCATCATGTGAATTGGGTATTTATTGAGTAAAAATATATGTTGACAAAGCAATTAGACAAAGGGAACCCATGTTGAGACTTAAACTGTTGGTTTGTATCCATCACGTTCACACTATCTGTTCAGTTACCTCACTTTGAAGGCACAGGAACCATGACTATTTTGCATTTTCAAAGAATGATTTATTGGTTTAAGGAGATGTATAAGAATTTCCAAATATTAAAAATTAAATTCTAAAATCTGAACTTTGCTGAACAAATAGCAGGAACTGACATCTGGCCCAAACACTTCAAACTAGTAGATTCAAAGTAATACAATATCATGAGTGAAACCCGGAAATTCAAAGAAGTACCTGTCCCAAGATGTGTTTAGCAAATGGCTGTAAAAGACTCCATATGCCAAGTGTTGAGATGTACTTTGATAATAGTTTGTAATGTTAATTATAGGATTTAAAAATTGTTCTAGGTAAAATGTTATCTTATTTTAGTTATCTAAAAGTGCTGTTATTCTACATAAAAGAAATAATAAGAGGGCCAGGATGTAACTCAGTGGCACCACGCCTGCCTGGCAAGTGCAAGGTCTTGAGTTTAATCCCTGGTATTGAAAAAAAAAAAAAAAAAGTAAAAGAAATAATAAGAACTTTTATGTTTATTTCACAATTGTGAGATTATTTTCCTAAAAAAGATCCTTCATCTATACATACTAGTCTGTGTGCACAAGACACTCACCCCAGGAGTGATTAGCATGAGAAGAGAGGACTGAAATGGAAAATGAAAGACATTGCACTTCCATTTTCGGGCATTTTTTTCCACCTTGTTGACCTGAGAAGATAAGACCTGTCTGCCTACCTAGCTAGGAACAGACAGCAAGACACTGACCATGTATGGACACATACACACAGAGTTGACTGACTGTGAGAGAGGTTAGCCAGTGACGCCAATAAACCAAACTTTACTCTTAGACTTGTCTCTTCAGAAACATCTCAGTTTCAAGGGCTTCGACAATTTTGAACGGCTACCTGGTCCCAGCTCTTAGCGTTCATATGTAGAGCTGTGTGAGCTGCTATAGAGACTTGTAGTGATTGTCACTCAGCAGCTTGATACTGACTACTTTCAGTTAACTGTACTTTTGACTCCTCTCTGATTATCTTCCAGGGAGATCTTTATAAGAGCATGTAAAGAAGTGGGAAAGTGTGTGATCTTTTTGCTTTAGTCATGAGTATAAAGTGATGAACCTACTTTCTGGTACAGTTTATAAAGTCAGTTAGTTCACCGCCTCTTAATCCCAGCACATACATGTATGTAAGCTGCAAATATCTCAAATGAGATGATTGAATTTTGTGAGGAAAATGACAGTGAATAATAAATCTACTTTCACTTTGTCTTTAAGGAGTTCAAAATTCAAACACTTCTTATAGGTGTCCTTAGGTTTTTATGAGATTTTAAAAATATTATATAACAGTTTGAGACAATAAATCATCCTCCACTTTAAAGACACCAAACATTCCTGATTTCAGGAAGAATATTAAAAAGTAATTTGAAGGATTCCTTTTAAGAATACCTAGCAAAACTTCAAAGTAAAAGATTGTGGAGTAACATGAAAATAATTTGATAATAAGTAATCTTGTGAATTATTCTATTTCTGAGTGAAGATCCACTCATAATAAGCATACATTCACAAAGACATCATATGTGGTAAATGTATTTAGCAAATGTCTCCATCTAGTTAAAGAAAAGATCAAGATATTGACAGAGAGACTAGGTAATACTGTTAATTTTCCTGCCATGATTCAAGTGTTCTGCTTAGAAACTTTGCATCAGCTTTAAAGTTACTTTTATTCATGAAAAACCCAATTGAAAATTACTATCAGTTCTGAGAAAAACATCCTCTAAAGTAGATAAGCCCTGAAATGACAAAGAAAATTCTCTGATGATTCTTGCTATTTATTATACGTAGCTCCTGTAGAAATCTTTACACATCGCCTTTGCATACTACATTCTACCTAGAAAATATAAAACAAAGATAAATAAAGACAAGATGATGATGATTCTAACAAGAAGAGTTCTTTTCAAGGAGTCTTTTCAAAGATAACCCTAATTCCCCATGGTCTGAAAGAGTGTATAAGATCGATTTCTCAAGTCTATATGGAGCAAAGCTGACTTAAACTCGAAGAAATCCTTGTTTTATTATTTATGTCAGATGCATGGATATGGACTCAAGAATCTTTTAAATAAACAGAGAATTATAGCTTTAAATGTTTTCCTTTAACCATTTTCCTTTTACTATTCCTGCTAGTCATCTCACCTGACGTAGATTTTTAGACTTCCTTAAATTTACTAAATGACAACACACCTTTGAAATAAGTCTTCCTAGGAAATGCTAATGCAGCATGCATGCTAAAAATATTTCAAGCATTATTAATTTACATTTATAGTAGTTCAGAAATAATCTCATGAAAAATAACTTTTTATTATTCTGTTTTATTAACAGAATTGCTAACAATATAGAATGAATCCCCTAACACCAAAGAGCCTTTTAACTAGTTCTTCTTAAGGTTAACCTCTTAAACACTTTAAATTTACCACTCTATTTCTGTACACTTCAGTTTCTAGAAGAAGATGGAAAAGTTTAGATACTTCCAGGACCCGCTGAGGGGAAAAAAAACCCTGTGTAAATATATAAGAAAATTCCACCTTTATTATAAAAAAGGTTTTCCTTAAATCTCTCCATTTTGTTTCAGTATCAGGTTAATACAATAGAAACTACTACCTGTTAGTTTTTGCTGTTTCATGTTTTGGCTTTGTCCTTCTATGTTCTGACAGAGCATTTCTTGACAACAGGGGCACTACTGTATTTATTCCTTCTGTCAGAAGTTCTCTAAGAGAGATTCAGCAGCCACTGACATTATTCTTTAAAGAACACAGAATTCAGGTACAATGGAATAGTTTCAAGTACTTGTTTGTAAGCATGCTTGAGTCAGAATCCTAGTAGTATCAGGGTAGTTATGTAGAAGTCGTTATTCTCATTTTCCCACCCCATACAGAAGAAACAAGATTGTAAAGTTACCTACCTTGCAATAGGTGTAGCTTTCAGTTCCTTTAATGCAACAGAGAGAACAAGGAGAGCTACGGGGAGCCTTAGCAGACTCATTGCTTCTCAGATTTCCTGAAAAGAATAAATCAGTCCTGAAATTAAGAAATTCTCTACAGTCCAAAGAGATGTAATTTCTAATTAGAGCCTAATTGTTTAAAATTTTAAATATAATTTACAAGGATCTTGATTTTGTTGATTTAAAAATCCCTAAATACTATTCAATTTTCAAATACTTTCAAAATGTTCACTTTCCGAATTCCCTTCTCTAAACCATCTGAAAATTGATATTATAATGCATCAAATCTTTAACCTTTCTTGGAAATAAATCATACACCAAGTCTGTGTTTCCTTATCCAATAAGACTTTCCCAGAAACAGGGAATTCTTTACCTTTTAATGTTTCAGGGTCAGGAATATCAGAAAATGCCTTTGGTAGGGAAAAAGTTTCATTAAAAAGTCCAAGCTTTCATTCACTGGACTATTTGCCCCCTACCAGTTGACTAGTAATCCAGCTCTTATATATTCATCACGCCTTTTTCAACTCTGAGTGACACTGTCCTTAATTTCCATCCTTATAGCCAGAAGGTACTTCATAACAGAAGCAGATGGGCCATTATCACCTTAACACATCAGTAAATATTAACACAACAGATACAGACTCTCTTTGTGCAGTTAATTGTGTGTCAACTCAGCAGAAGCTTGAATTTTCCATCTTTGTAAACTACAAGTCAATTTTCAAGAATTAAATGCATGTTACAGTAAGGAACTGATCAAAAGTGATTAAGAATAACAATAAATGTGCTTATATGCAAAGAAGAAAGCCAGAGACACGGAGGAAAGTATAAAACTAAATCCAAATGGCTCCCGGGGATTAATACCACGGACATTTAGAGGTTTATTGAAATATCATGGTAATGTGTAATAAAAAAAAAGACACAGAAGAGAAATCAACTACATTGAACCTGAACTTTTTCTTCATTCTTTTTTTACCTTCATATGTTTGTAGTACATGAAGTTTACATTCATCTTGGGAAGCAGGTACATGTACAGAATACAGTTAGTTTCTTTCTTTTTAAAATTCACTTCCCCTTCCTGCCCACCTCTCTCCCTCTCCCTCTAAATTCCCTTTCCCCATTTTCACTCTTGTTGATATTACTAATCTCAGCTTATAATGTTTACATTCATTGAGGTAATTAGATTCGCATGCTTGGCATATCTTAATTCTACATACTTCCCCTTCCCTTCTCCTCTTCCCCTTCATCTCCTGGACCCTTCTTATTGGCCAGAACCTGAACAATTTGTAAAATGAATCTGCATTAGTTAAAGAATAAAAGAGAAAACGAAAGCCATTTAAAACCATGTGGGAGAAGATAAAGACATGAAAACAATAAATTCATATCTACAAATTTATCTGTCAGTATTTAAACAGATACACAATTTCATATAGTCCCATCCGGTTGCCTCTGTGTCTTTTTAACGTGACTGAGAAAGCTTTTAACTACTGAGAAAGCTTCACTGCTTCCTGGTGACTGTGTGTGTTTTTGTGACTGCATGAAGACCATTCACTGCTGAACCCAGTAGTAGACTGTAATTTTATTTCCTTTCTTAATTAGCGTTTTTTTAATGAATATTTATCTCCTTTTTATTGTTTAGTTTTAGAGTTGCAAATAATCTTAGAGGACAGTAAAACCACTCTTCACGCAATATTTCTATTTTGTTACCAGCGTTCTTTCTCCCTGTCCATTCCACGGAGGTCTCTTTCCTGCGGCCCTCTTCCTCCTTCTTTTTTCGAACTTTAATGTTTCTGGTTATTTTCTAGGTTGCTACAAAATTGTTCCTTCCTTTGTCATCCCGCTGAAAAATGTTCTCATTCTTTCCTCTGCTTTGAATATCCTGTTCCAGCTTTTCTGTTTGGTCCTTGATTTTGATGAAAATGGCCTTGCTAGCTTCCCAAGAATGGGGGCCTATTGAGAGCTTTTATTTTCCTGTGTATGTATTTATTCTCTTTTCTTGGTTGAAAATGGATTTAGGCTTAGGGTTCTTAACATGTGATTTTTATTCAGAATTAGGAAAGTATTGTTTGTTGTAGTGTAACCAATAACATAACTATAGAGAAAAGCAACTTTAGATTCAGTTTGTGACTTCTATAAACCCCTCTTTAAGCAGTGTGTGATGGTCCACACCTGTAATCTGGGCACTCTGAGAGGTCAAGGCAGGAAAATCACAAAATCTGGCCCAGACTGGGAGACTTAGCAACTCAAGGAGACCCTGTCTCAAAATTTTAAAAGGCAGACAACAAAAAGAGGGGGATAAGAGGAGGCTAGGGATGAAGCTCTGTGTAAAGGTCTTGGGTTTAAGCCCCAATCCTCCAAAATAAAAAACAAAACAAAACAAAACAAAATCCTCTTTGGAATTTCGTAGGATCTTCTCTTCATTCCTAGGAAATGAAATTGTATGACAATATGCTTTGGGGTGGGCCTTCACTGACCCAGTTCAAAACCTCAATGTGTCCTTCAATAAATAAACTTGTATCCTTCAGTTCTGGGAAATGTTTTGAGGGTTTTTTCTTGGTAATTTTTCCCTGGTTTTTTTTTTCTTCACAGAAGGCTTTTCAGAATTAGATGTATTAATGTTATACTATTTATAATTTTTTCTCATCTCCTTAACTTTTTAAATTTCTTGTAAATTTTAACTTAATCTACTAACTTTCAAATAAACGCTTAACTTTGGCAATCACAGTTTAAATTTCGAGAGCCTTTGTTTTCTGAATGTTCTTTTATAGCATTCTGTTTTTGTTTCATTGGTGTAACATCCATCTTTCTTTCTGAGGATACTATTTATAGCTTTCTTTTTTATTTTGTTTCATTTTAAAATCATCTTCCCTTTGTGGTCTTGCTTCAGATCTCTCTCCCCATTCTAAAAGAATTATTTATTTTTGTCCTCATCTGTCCCTTCCTTCCTTCCTTCCTTCCTTCCTTCCTTCCTTCTTTTCCATCTTTTTTTTCCTTCCAAGATGGAGTCTCACTAAATTGAATTTTTTTTTTTTTTCTGGAAGATGCCATGTACACATACATTCTAAATACACCAAGTAAAGCCGGGTATTTAGCTCAGTTTCATGGTGCCTGCCTGGCAAGCACAAGATCCTGAGTTTGATTCCCAGTTCAAAAAAAATTAATTAAAATAAAATAAATACACTAAGTAAGTTTTCATATTTCATGTGACTGCATATGGATCCTCCAACTGTAACCTTCATGAAGAGGTTTCACTTTATAAAGGGACGCAGAAAGAAAGACCAATACTTCAGGTAAGGTTAGAGATGGGTTAAGGTAATATGTAGAACAAGTCCCAGACTTACTAGCTACATATCCAATACATTTTAGCTGACTTTTTCAGGAGCCAGAAGAAAGGAGACTTTGGAGTCAGGGGCCAAAAGGGATAATTGTTGGCATAATGTTCCCAGAGAAATAGGAAGTTACGGGGTCACAAGTGTAGTGGACAAGCTAGTTTTGTAGGGAGGAGGAATGTAGACACTGAGTTGTATGTTTATTCAGAACCTGCCTTATGTCAGGCATTGTGTTAAAACATTTTTGTGGAATATCTCTATCTTCAAACACCCTGTGATGTAGGATATATTACCTTTACAGATGAGTGTTCACGTGTTAGAGAGGTTAAGCAACTTTTTCAAATCATGTTAGAGTGGCAAGGAGAATTTAACTGACACGCACACGTGTGGGGACACTAAAGTGCTCCAACCTGGAAGAGTCAGAAAGAAGTTAAAAGTATTATTTATTGTAACTAATACTGGGATTCAGGGGGAGGTGAATTTGGGGAATTTGAGTATTAGTTTTCACTAGAAAATGACAGAAAACTATCAGCTGGGATTGGCCTTTCCCTTGGCTTTTCCTCTCTACTGACTTGCCAGCAGTGTACCTCTTGTCACTGGAAGAGGAACCCACATGGATCTGCACTCCTATGGCCCTGGTCGCTGGTCTTGATAGCATTGGAAGCTGGGTTGGAAAAGAACCAAGTTGTCTGCAGGAGACTTTCATGTATAAGCTAAGACAAAAGGGAGAACAAAAAGGATATAATCAGGCCCAGCAAGGTGGTCACAAATCATCTGCTACTACAGTTTCTGAGCTTTGCTTTTATTTTTTTTACTGAGAACTGTCCAGAAAAATACGGAAAGAGGTCATTAACCTTACACATAGGAGAATCCTTCGACTAAAATGATTATACTCTATGTATTATTGTTCATCCTGGTTTAGAAGGTCTTTAGCTCTTTAAAATCTTGTTATTACATATATATGATACTTAATTGATATATACATATATGTATATATAATGGATATATATTATAACATAATATGTAATTTGTTTTGGTTCAGATTTAGGAGCACTAACATATCTGAACTATATTGCAGTTCGATATCATGCTGAGTAGCTTCTAAGACAAGTAGATGTGATAAAATTAACTGCTTCTTTATAAGTACTATTTATGAATTCTGTGTTTGGGTCTAATTATAGATAGGAGTTTAAAGTGGTAATGTGTATAGTTGAAAGAACTCTGATTAGGATTTGATTATTTAATGAGACATTATAATAATTTAAGAGGGATACTCTGTCATTATGTTTTACCATAGCTCAGAGAAGTAGCATATAATTAAAGTTGAAGTCTAGCTATTTTATAACTATGGTCAAAAAGTGTAATAAAGTGTGCCAAAAATTGCTTTTAAGATTAGTGGTTTCCTTTTAAGCATAAACTGATTGGTTGAAAAAATTACCCAGCTCACTCAAATGTTTTTTTGCATACACCCTCCCATACTCCGCCCCTCAACCCTTACAGGAACAATCTACAGCACAGTGAACCAGCTAAACAAGGAAAGGTCATTTTTATTTTAATGTTCCAGCATAAATGGATTAAACATATTTATTACATTTGCTTCTGGCTCTGAGTGGAAAAGCCTTCACCTATGTAGTCTGCACAAGTATTCTGAGTTTCAGAGGCTCTCAGCAGCAAAGTTTTATCTACAAGTAATAGATGACAAGCAAAAATGTGTGTTCAAATGTAGGTAA